TATATGTACGTGTATGTGTACATATATGTGTATATGTATGTAAATATGTATGTCTACGTGTATATGTATATATAAGAAACAAAAGCAGCTAAATTATAATGTGATATAAAATACTAAAAACAGGAACATGTCTGTTGGTTATTGCCATGAACTTAGCAGATATTTGAAGCCATTTAATCACTTTAATATCCTCTTTGGCATATTGTTTTTATGCTTGGTGTATATTTAGCTCATGTTTTTCTTAGTTCATATCTTAGATCTTATGGCTGTTTTTCTTTTACATTTTAATGTGGGATGTAACTGGGACCCTGTGTACATAAGCTTGTTCTGCCACATGTACCACATGTGGTGTGTATGACAATAAAACTCTGACTCTGACTTTAAAGCTAGGAATAAAAACATTTTTTGTTTTAGCAGGATTTAATTCTCACTTTGAAACTTAGCCAACATTAATAAAACTTACCTCATGTTGCCTTTTTGGACATGCATACATATATTTGTACAAATCGTACTTGCCTGTATAGAGGAGATTTTTACAGCCTCATATAAAATCAATAATGATGATGATATCGGAATAGTATCGTATTGGTCGATATCTAGATCTAGGTATCGGGGTCGGATTGGAAGTAAAAAAAAAAAAAAAAAAAAAAGTGGATCGGTGCATCATCCCTAGTAAAAATTAGAAGCACTTATATTGGCACATAATGGGACAATTTTCACTTATGCCGATAGGTCCCCAAAGGCCTATATGAGCCCAAAATATCAAACCCTACCAATTATATCGGTCTGGCTCTAATTCATCGAGTACTCTACTACATCTCTACAAAGATAATCTGAACAAATCATTCTACTGAGACTAATAATTGCTTTAAATCACATTCACATTACAGAGCGTGGTGAAGGCTGCACAGAAGACTGTTGGAGTCAGTCTCCCCACCATCACAGACATTTACACCTCCAGATGCAGGAAGAGAGCCACCTGCATCATGAAGGACCCCACTCACCCAGCACACACACTTTTTGCCCTGCTTCCCTCAGGTAGGAGGTTGAGGAGCATTAAGTGTAGAACCACTAGACTGAGGAACAGCTTCTACCCTGAGGCTGTTATTCATGAATCTCTAATCAGGATAATCACTGTGAAAAATCACATCATGTTGCTGCTGATCTGTTTCATGTTGATGTGTTCATTCGTGCTTATCTGCTTACACCTCATGTTCGTACTGCTGTTCGACGTAATTTTTTTATGCTATTAGTGCTCAGTGTATTATTTAGCTGAGGTTTTTCTTGGTTCATATCTTGGATATTATTACTGTTTTTCTTATACATTTTACTGTTGGATGTAACTGAGACCCTGTGTACATAATTTCGTTCCACCACATGTACCACATGAGATGCAAATGACAAATAAATCTTGCTGACTCTGACTCATCAATGGACACACATCGGCAGTGAGGGTTGTGTCTTGCCCAGGGACACTTCAACATATGACTGGTGGCATTATTCTCTCAATTCTCCCACTGGAGGACGACCGCTCTAACCACTCAGCTCATTAATGAACAATAAATTGATATAGTTTTTGTTTTGATGGGTATTTTTTCAGACGGAGCCTTCAATTTATTTTGTCTTTAAGACATATAATAAACACTACTGTTTTAATAATTGTAGTGATTCCACATTATAAGTTTAAGGAGAGTATAAGTTTCAGCTTTATTTATGCTAGTGACTGTAACTGCATGTCTGTTACCAAAGTATCTCAAACCACAGTAGAAATTTTAATAAAACATGCAAATTTCATTGTATGTACTTCTATAACTGATTAACTTTTAAATTTAACATGATTCATGATTAATAAACACAAAAATAACCCAGTCTAGCTAAGGCAGTCGGTTTTACTGATATTAAGCTGTAATTTGGTGTGGTATTATCCGAGACTGATCTCTAACACATTCTGAGTGCTAACAGATGGCATCTTAGTTTAAAAATCTGTTGTCAAAATATATCAAAACATTGATCCATGGATGAACATCCACAACTGGTTAACTTTTGGAAGCAACATGATCCTAAACGGCTGCCCTAGTTAACTTTTTAAACAACCCAAAAATGGCTATAATGAAGTCCATTATACAGATATTAGGCTGGAAATGTTTGTGGTAGTAACTGAAAGTCATTCACAACACATACTCTTAAATGCCACTGATTACATGAATTTTGCTTAGGCCATCACATTTTCAAAGTTGGACCAAAATGGCTACAATGTTGTCTATGATGAGATGATCTTAATCTAAAACTCTGGTATAGAATGGCAGCGGGCGAATGATAGACCTTTTTTAATTTAAGCTTTTGATTCATGCATCCCAACTCTTCCTTCTTTAACAAAGTGTGTGGTGAGCTTAAAGTTTCAGCAAAGCACTCTTGAGTCATCCCCTCCTCCTCTGTCACTGCTTTCAGACAACGGGATGAGCGATGAGAAAGTCTGTTCCACCGTGAGTGGAAATCCTCCCCCGCCAGAGGTCCTGAATTTAAAGAAGCCCGGACGTTTAACCAATCAGCTCCTGTATCTGGAGATGGTGGTGATGAAAGCATTGTGGAGTCATCAGTATTCGTGGCCTTTTCAGCAGCCAGTTGATGCTGTAGCGCTCTGCCTCCCAGTAAGTAGTTTAATCAGATTTTAATATTTGAGCCTGACTCTGAGAGGTGTTGCTGTCAATATGCAAACAGGACTTAATAAACTTTTAATTGTTTTTGATGTCACATTAGTAGAACTCGACCTTTTTTGCAAGCCCTGTTAGTGTGATCATGTCCTGTAGCTCAACTATGAGCTTCTTGGTGCCAAAGGAGGGAATACTGATCTATCTACATTTTTGTCCAGTCGCGGCGCAAAGAGTGAGAATTGGAAATATCCTCTGTCTGTGATGGCTACCATCATAAATGTTTGTCCATGTTGTGAGCATGACGACTTCAAAAATAAGGGAGGTGCCGACTTCCATTTTGGTGTGTGGCTACATCTAGGCATAAGAGATGTTCCTTTCAAAAATTAGGTTACCACATTAAAATCCAAGATCACTGCCGCCAAATAGGAATAAATGTAAATCTTGTTAGCTGGTAACTTGAAAAATATACAACGTGCCAACTTCCATTTTGGTGTGTTGCTGTATCTAGGCGTAAAAAATATGTCTTATCAAAAAATTGGGTTGCCACATCAAAATCAAATATGGCCACTCACCACTATATATAAATATATATGGAAACTGACTACACCTATCATGTGAGAAAACTGTTCTAGTTTTTATTTGGCTTTAAACTTCAGTTTCCTAAGGCCATCATTGGCCACCATTTGCCTCTGCTATTACCAGTGGTGGTGGACAAAGTACTCAATCCTAGTAGTTAAGTAAAATTATTGATACTCGTGGTCAAATCTTACTCGACTACAAGTAAAAGTTGCTCAGTCAAAAGTTTATTCGAGTTAAAGTACTGAAGTAATTACTTTTGAAAATACTTAAGTATTCAAAAGTACATGCATTTAAAAATACTCAAGTATTTAAAAGTACAAATTATATTCTGATATCAGTACATTGCTATATTGTTTCGAGTGATTTTACAGAACCTTGTAACTCTGAAAACCACCTGATGATGTATTAACATGTAGAACCACTCTTAACACCACACGCCTTAATAAAACCTGTAAAGACGAAACGTTTCTATATTTTTTTCCTTTGTTTAGTTTTTTTTGTTTTTTTGAATGTCCAGAGGACCAGATTGAACTTTTTTGGATTCTGCTGACATTCTTTTTCTGTCTCTTCAATGTCTGTTCTCTGCTGCTCACTTAACTCTGCATCTTCTGCTTTGCACTGTGTGATGTACGCAGCCTCGAGCTCCTCATTTTCCTCCATCACTTTGGAGCCCTCTGTTGTGAGTCTTTTGAAGTTTTCTTTCTTTTAGCTCTTCCACAAACATGTTCATACGAATCCACATAATATGGTTGGTGAGTCTGGAGAAAAGTGGTTTTGCTGTGGTTCGCTCCACTTTCAGGTCTTTGAGTGCCTTGGTCTCGGCCATGTTGCTCCCTCTTGGCTGTTGGACAGACAGACAGCAGAACGTTTCCTCCATGCCCCTGGTTGAGTCTTCTCAATCTTTGTGGTGGGCTGTAGTGGAGTCTTCACTGGTCAAACAGTTTCACTGGTAAAGTGATTTTTCACTGTTAAGGTGGTTTTTCAATGTCAAGTTTCTTTTCAGTTACTGTGTGGTGTCCACTTGACAGACTGGGACCAGACTTCCTTTTTCACTGAGCATTCCTTTTTTATTTCACCAGTTGCACAGATAATACAGTTGATTTGGTAAACCGTGGTTACAACTAATCAGGTGATCAGTTAATCAGGTGAAAAACCTTCAAACAGAAAACACAAATAAATTAATCTAAATACATTGCTATAAATTTTTATAACAAATGCTCATATAAATTTTTAATAATTACTTGAATAGACTTGTCTTTTTACTTGTAACAATTTATATAGAACAAACATTTCCACATTCAGAGATTACTCAAATAAATTTCGTCTTCCTCTACTCAAAGCAAATGGATCCAAAAAGCACCTAAAACTCCAATCAATGAGCTTACCGATAGTCCTTTAAGTTTAAAGTCCCCTTTCCTCACAGGTTTCCAGTCTCTGTCTACTGCCGCACGCCCTGCTCGCTGTGCTTTTTTTTCATTTATTTTTTTTATACCGAGCTGCTGGTTTGCTGTCGTTTTTTAGTGCCAGCGTGAGCTGCCAGCTGATTTGGTTAAGCGCACCTGCTCAGTGCTCACAGACACGCTGCCGTGTAGAGCGTTTGCAGCGCGCACAGTATGTGCAGCGCGCGCGCACAGTATGTGCA